TAATTAAATAAAACATTCAGTTAATAAAGTGAATATGAACTCTTTTTTGTCACGTGTTTTAGAATTTCCTGATTACGTACTGTCCTCCTTCGTATTATAAAACATGCGGCTGCCAGTAAAACATAAAGAAAAGACTATGGGGAACGGGAACATTGTGTGTGCATATAGTATGCACAAGATTCATGAATAATTATATATAGGCAAGCCACGAAATTCAGGTATCATCGGAACTCTGCAGTTTTAGCGGTGTACTCTGTCCTTTTGTTTTCCAGGATGTTTCAGTAACAGTAATAGCGTAAACGATTGCACCAACTGGATTATGTATTCACATTAGACTTTGCTCCGTTTTATTCAGTTTTACCTGGTTTCGGAGTGGAACGTTCTCGTTTTTGTATAAATTTCGCTCCAGAACCGAGCCAATCAGAGTAAAACCGGGTCAAAAACAGAATAACACTGACTCAAAAATCTTATTATCATCTTTCACGATTGGTCCAAAGCTCTCCGACTTCCGGCGTCGGGACTTTAAAACGTTGGCGGAGTTGGCGAAAAAATGCGATACTTCAGGCTTCCATTTTGCCATGTGAACGTATCCTGTTTGAGCCCTAGCAGAGGCTACGCGCTCGTTCTGGGGCGGCAGATCACGTGCACATTCTATCGTGGGCATGCTTTTTATTAACAGAAAAGAAAAGCCGGTAGTGTCGAATAACATCCAATAATTATTAACACCATGGAAGTCATTAAAAAAAAAGCACATAAAATGCGCACACACTCACACACACACGAAATAAGGATGACCTTCCCGAAATTATGAGTGCACCTTGTTTCACGCGCAGTAAGTGTCAGGCAGCGCTTTCCACTTCGTAGTTGAGCAAGGAAGTTCCTTTTTGAAAGGCATTTTACGCGCTTGTTGGCAGTTTGGGCCTTTAGTTTGGCTTCTGGCTTCCCAATGTTGTAGTTTTCCTTGATGCCGGGAAGAGTGTACACTCCAGCAATGAAGTTTTCGAGATTCAAAAGCCCTTCATTTTGCGTCCAATTAAAATGAAGGCCAGCCGAAACAGGGTACGTCAGACTCGTTACATTCGTCTTTGGCAGTAGCCTTTTCGGAAACTTGGACAGGAAATTGGTCTTCAAATCTCCCGTCACTTTCACGATTTTATCACTTGTGTCTTCACTAACTGGCCCAGTACTGTGACCGCTTCTGGTTTCATTGGTACTACTTTAGTTCACGGGGAGTTTTTGTCTCACCGTGTTCCGAGACAACCGAGCTTGCAGAAACTGCTGTCGGCGACGTCGGTTCTGGTCCCTGGCCTGTTGTAGCATTTTTCAGGACACAACTTCGTCTCAGGACCGTTGTCCTTGGCAAGCTGGGTATACTTAGTGGCTCCAAGTATATTTTTTTGTTTGGGTTCACGGTCGCACAGCGCGACACCCTACGTGTCTCAAATCCAAATTTGAAAATTCGCACCGACGTCGTCCCGCAGCAAATGCAATTTTCTAATTAAAATGACAAATAAATATTACTCCGTTAAAAGTTTAATATATATTCAGTATTTACATTTGACAATTAAGTAATACCATCATTTTTAGAAATGTTCATTATTTTCTTAAGTGCATCAGTCACACTTGCGGGCTTGCGGGTTACACCACGGCTGTGTTCCAAAATTTACTCGATCCGACTCCGGAGTAAAGGTTTCGTACCTTGGCGTTTCAAAATTTACTCGCGCTTACTCGATGACGTCAGAACTCGCGTTCCAGAAGCGGGTTGTTTACTCCGGAGTAATTACCCACGTTACCCTCCTCGATTGGGGGGTAACGCCGGATCAAATCGAGTAAATACATCACGTGATCTGTTCGTCGTCTGCTTCCTGCGCCGACAGCCGTCAAAGCTCGATTGCTCCGTTGGCTTTTGCGGCAGACGTTCGAAATAACAAAGAATGAGGTGCGGCCATTTATGTGTGGCTATTGCAATTTGCTGTTTTCAACGCAGGAATTTATTGCACCACATCCAGGCCGTGTACCTTCCCTCAGAAAGGTATACTTGTTATTGTCAGAGTGCGTGCGTAAACAGGAGCTTCTCCGCATCCTCGTCCTCAGCGTTGGAGGGAACTTTGTATTCTTACGTTAAAGGGTGAAAATGTTCGAACGCAGTACAGGGTGTCACAAATGAAAATTTACACGGTCTTTTTTACCGCAAAAAAAAACTAGGCATCACCGAACGCTCATTTTCCGCCCAAAGGTAGAGCTAGAGGTCACAACCAGATGCCGAAGTTTCAGCCCGATCCGATAACTTAATCAAAAGTTATAAGTGATTTTCTGAAAATTTCAATGGGAAAATGGACCCCATTTTTGCTCGTTTTCGGTTTCTGGTGCCATAGAGCCCCATGTGTTTGAAAACTCCGTCGGCCGCCATTTTCCCATTGAAATTTTCAGAAAATCATTTATATCTTTTGATTAAGTTATCGGATCGGGTTGAAACTTTGGCATCTGGTTGTGACCTCCAGCTCTACATTTGGGCGGGGAATGAGAGTTCGGCGATGCCTAGTTTATTTTTGCGGTAAAAAAGACCTTGTAAATTTTCTTTTGTGACACCCTGTAGATTATGTTGAAATTTCGGGGGGGGGGGGGGGGGGGGGTTCTCCCCAGAGTGTGTGTAATGACAGGATTACGCTCGTAAAGCAGTGAAGGCATCGACGATTTTATGTATACGTTCAGTCAACAACCCCACCAAATTTCCCTCCCTAAAGAATTGTCTATGCGGTTTCGAAGTGCTCTCTGTGAGTTTATAATCATATTCGCGTCAAAGCGAACGTAAGTTACATATCACTGTTGAGAAAGCCCCATGCGCTCTACCGCTACACCGTGTGGGAGCATTATTCGCAAAACGTAATCGGTGCTAATTACGATGAGTTGATGCTGTTTATGGCGCCTAGACAAGACTTACAGCGATCGCGCAAATTAATCAAAACAAAAATGTTGATGTCTAACTGAAAGGAATGAATAATTTTTATTTCAATATACGGCCCAAAAGGAAGGTGAGCAAAAGGAGCTGGTGGAGCCATTATCGTCTCTATCGGAGCGGTTAACATGATAGTCTCTATCTGGTTTCTCCGTGATCAAAAGATATCGTCTGCTATAGACCCTTTCAGGCAACATTTCATGGGCGCCGCCATCTTGACCTCACGTGACCCTGCCGCCATAGCCGCCCTTCAGTTTCTCGCCGTTCCTCCGCGTTGTGTGCTGCACCAGCCACTACCGGAGCGTTGTTTTCGCGTTCTTTTACGTTCCGCGTTGAAATAGTGTGTTTTCTTTAGGTCTTTTCGATATTTCTGGCTTTCATTTAATTATCTGGTATTGATATTTCAACGTAGCTCTTGTATTTTCTTATTTATGAAATGGAATCGGACGGCGAATGGATCGACGATACAAGATTATGGCTTCAGAGACCATGTAAGTTCATTCCATTCTAACGTTTTTCTCGCTAATATATGGCAGTCAACACCATTGTGACATATGCAAATGTCAACTGACCCAGTAGGGCTAGCTATCCAGTCGTGCTTCTCGCTGCATGTGCGCGCTCGTTTCTGTAAAGCCGACCCGCATGCAAGCGATTTAGCGTGCGACGAGACGAGCGACGGCGACAACGACGAGAGTCAGCGACGAACATTTCTCACTGTCGCCTGTTATATCGCTCGGTTTTTCAGGGTTTCTAGAAAACGTCGCTCACCGTCTTCGTCGCTTGCTCCCGTCGCTTCCATGCGGTTTGCCTCGTTGCGTGACTGCCCGAGCGACAGCGAAGCGGGTCACCGTCGCTTGTTTCGTTGCTCGCCGAATCGCTTGCATGCGATTTATTCTTAATATCGAGGCGCCAATGGTTCAATGGTGTGTGCATGGAAAATAATCGAGCATAAACCGCATGTAAGCGATTTGCGTATGGCCCTTGAGCGACGTTTTCTAGAAATCCCAAAACCGAGCGATGCGACGGGCGACAGTGAGAAATCTCGGTCGCTCGTCTCGTCGCACGCTAAACGCTTAAATGCGGGTCGGCTTTACGGAAACAAGCACGCACATGCAGTGAGAAGCAAGACTGTGATAGCCTTACTGCGTCAGTTGCAATTTAAATACGTCGCAATAGTGTTGATTGCCCTTTATTAGCGACAAAAACGTAAGAATGGGATGAATTTACATGTTCATTGAAGCCTCATAATCTTGTATCGTCGACCCATTCGCTGTCCCATTCCATTCCATAAATAAGAAAATACAAGAGCTATGTCGAAATATAAATATCAAATGACTAAATTAAAGTCCTAAATATCGAAAAGACCTAAAGAAAATACAAGATTTAAACGCGCAACGTATAAAAATACGAAAACGAAGCTCCGGTAGTGGCCTGTGCAGCACGCAACGCGGAGCACCGGCGAGAGAACTGAAGGTCGGCTATGGCGGCCCGGAAAGCGCGCGAAGGGCGCGCCGACTGGTGGCAGTTCGAGCAACTGACTCGCTGAAAGCGTCTATTTTCCGCCATCGCCGCTATGTTTTATTTTTGCCGTAGCCCAAGACGAAGCCAATCCGCGTAGTATCCAGGTCATTATTCCGGCCGTTCCAAAATCGAGTCGCGGATCGTTTAGTCGCGATGTCACGTGGTATTACCCGCTGACGTAGAAAGCAGGTTACTCGGGTAAGATTTGGAACATAGCCCACGTGACAATATAGAGTGAGCTGGAGTCAATAGAGTGAACAGTGGGGTCACCCGCATGCAAAGCCCGCATCGCCCGCATGACATATAAAACCAAAATAAGTTTTCAAAGTGCAATTTATGCAAATTGTTTGCTAAATTAAGGTCAATAAGTAAATTTTTTAAGTATTCGTTTACTTCAGCAAACAAAAACAAGAGTTAAAATACGAAGTATTATAGTCACGTGATACATCCCCTGCGTCAGGAAGTGGCCCGACGTGATAAACCGAACCACAGAACCGAACGGTCCGGCCGGAGGACTAGGAGTAGGAAGCGTGGAAGAAGGAAGAACTGCCGAAGCTGCCGAAGCAACGTTCGCGGGAAGTCTAACCGCCTGAAGCACGTTGCAGAGTCGAGACCAGTTGAGCGGCCGGAATTTTACGAACGATTATGCAAGCGTACGTCTTGAGGACGACCATGAGCCACATATCATCTCAAATTTCTGCCCGTCAAGCCTTGTGACGAAACGGAATCGGACTTCTTCAAGGCGCGGATCCTAAAGTTGTTTGGTAAGTTCTAGTCTCCACACGCTTTGTGCCCAGTCTAGTGACCATCTCCTTTAAGTTAAAAATTGCAGCTTTAAGCACAATATGTGGGAGTAACTCTCGGCGCCGGTTGTTTCAGGATCGCAGAGTGACGCGGAAACCCAGTGACAGTAAGCGGGTGCTAGTACCTCCGACGAGATGAGTGACTGCCCGGGAGGGTTGGAGGAAGCTTGTGTGAGACAGGTAATTGTAATTTCATTTTCGCGCTTGCGAAGCAATTCATAAGACGTATTTTAAATTTGAGATTTTCTTTAGTTATGCCGTCACAAGTACAAGGAATTTCATTGATAGGGGTGCCGTGGGTTTGTTTTCATATGCCCAGAAACTAGATAAAGGTTATGTGTTTTAACCATTTCGTCGTTTACTCTGAGACTGGGGGGTTTTTGAAGAGCAGAAGTAACAGAAAAAACATACAGGTCTCAAGACCTGTCTGTTTTTTCTGTTACTTCTGCTCTTCAAAAACCCCTCAGTCTCAGGGTAAACGACGAAATGGTTGACTTCCACCAGCTAGCCTGTACTTTGACTCTTTTCTCGTTAATGTGTTTTAACATTTTTTCTGTGCTGATAGGCTTAAGGTTAGAATGAATTATATCTGTCAAGGCGTGGCGCAGTCTGTGTCTATTTGGAGAAGAGGTATCTGTGTGCATGCGTGCGTGCATGTTTGTTTGTTTGTTAGTTTGTTGGGGGAGAGAGAGGAGATGAAGAAGAGGAGGAGGGTGAGGGATCACGTCGAATCATTCAAATCGTTAACTCTGACAGTAATCAGGTAAGAAGGATACTTGCTAGTTACACCGGTTCGGTTTTGTGCCAAACTCAAATTGCGTTTTGCCGCGTAAATATTGCTACAATTTTTTTTTTCATCAACAAAATTAATTTTGAAACATGCCATTGACAAATAGGACCCCTGTTTTCAATCCCAGTCCAGGTTATTCGCGACTCCAGCGAACTATAGATGGCGCGCTGCTCAGGCAAAATTCGGACGAAAGAAGGTCGTTTTCATTGTTCAGCATGCGGACCATCACAAATTCCTGCACTGCAGCGTAAAATCAGTGTTACATTTGAATGCAAAGCGATTTTTCGACCCTAGAAACGTTTGTCTACTCAGTGCGTAGGAAGGACCCGGTGGAATCATTAAAATAATTGCTGCAAACAATGTTTGTTTCTATGCTGCCTACGAGAACCAAGCAGCGATAGCGGACGACAGAGTCGGGACAACCTCCTCTCCTGAGCTTCTCGGCGCTGCCGCTACGCGGCGTCGATTTTGCTGGAGTCACGAATATTGCGCTGGTAAATTTCCTGTACATAGTGCTGCTTCAAAGATGAACTGAAGTTTATGTCTTCTATGTGTGCATTGGCAATGGCATGTGGCTCAACAAGACTTCACACACAAAGTTCTCAAATAAAAGAGGGAATCAATGTTCATCCGGTAAGGTTCGGTAATTATCTCCGCCACAGATGGCCTCCTTGGCGAATTGTAACCGGCAGACCTTCAAACCGCACAAAGGCTAAGCAAAGCCACAACTGGATGCAGCAAGACTAAAAGCTTTATAATATACTGTAAGGACTATGGCTTTATAGCCTTTTATAGCAAAACATACTGATCTGAAAAGCGTTGTTTGTGGTTATTTTAAAGTGGTATACGGAAACTTCGTCGTATTGTATTAATTCTGGTTCACTGCACAGTTGAAAGAATTGTCTTTGTTTGCTGCCAGAGAAATATAGCTTGCGATGAACTAAATCAAAGTTATGACTGCTGGTGTCATGTACATATTCAGAACTTTTTTTTTTATTAAAATAATTGTAATCAAGTGTTTTTATGGGTTTTAGCACTGTGATTAAGATACGTCAATGTGTTTTCTAAGAAAGACTACTAATTTGCAGTTTGTATCTTCTCCTAAAATATTTTGTAGATCTGAACATGTATTCATACCTGAATATGTGCCAGGCATTCCCCAGTATGTGTATAATTGTTTACTAGGCCTGTAAGCTTCCCCACTACATCATTGCCGCTATGTTAACGCTTCCCAGCTATTATTCGAGAGAGATAAGTGTTTCTCATGATCAATTAGGTTGAGATTGTTTAGCGTTAATGCTTTTGAGTCCCCCATTTTTAATTCCTGACAGAGCGCTTCAATGTCGGTTTATTTTTGATTTGCCGCTATTTATCACCACAAGCAAAAACATCACGCCACTGGGATTAACCCGAAGCTCACCTCATGATTAACGACGCTGCCGTCCACTGTCTTAAGGTGGGCCCACGTTCATGGGTACTTGTCTAGTGGTTCTGGAGTTGATGTTGCTGAGATAACCGAGACGCCGATTTCTACGATGGCCTCTGTCAGTATCATGGTCAATTACAGCTGGCCCGAACCAGGCCAATCAACCCGCTGGCCCGAGCCCGGCCCGGGCCCACAGTCAAAAGTCCGAGCCCATCCCAGGCCTGGGCTTTCGGGTAAGCCCAACCCCGTGCCCAGTGGTATGTTCTTTAATCCAATCGCCATATTGAGATAAAGACGTCAAAATTCCTCAGTTTAAATGTCGGAAGTGCCTCAATAAGAGCAGGTATAAATATTAGTAGCAAATTTAATGATAAATAAACTGCGCCGACTTTACTCAACAAGATTAACAGTTTAATCAAGCGTTTCGTCTCCCATGCGGGGAACATCATCAGTGAAACCTTCAAGCAGGAATGAGCGAAAAAACTTCAACAATCTTATGGTGAATTCGTGTGGTCGCCTCTCTCCTCTGACCTCGATTCAGCAGTGCGCCCCCTCCTCGCCGCCCGAGCTACTCGGGATCCTTTTCAGCCGATCACAACTGCTGGCTTCAGAGCTCTCCGAGATTCTTAGACCAGTCACGGAATTAAAACTTCCGGACATTGGTAATGCATTAAAAACAACACGATCTTACAGCGTACGCAACGTGATGAAGTGACGGTTGTGACGTAAGTTGTTTTACGCATCGGAATGTAAAAAAAAAAATAAAACAGTGTGCGAATTGATTTTTGCAGAACGGAACGAAAGCCAACGCTTGGAAACAGTTGTCAATTCATCGCGTTTTCGACAGTGAACGCGCTGCGATAGCGGTCATGCGTACGACTGAGCAGTTAATAAACCGCATTTTTCTCACGGCGGAATATCGTGCGAGCATCGCAATGTGACATAAATCACAGTGCATTATATTCGGCTCTCCCTTTATTTTACAACACAAACCTTTGAACGCGCTTTTTCCAAACGTCAAACATATCTTGAAGCGACTGCAAAATCCGGTAAAACAGCGGCGAGCTCTGCGAGCTGTTTCGTCGTCGGTTAGGCTTAGCGGATTCACCGCCGTGAGATGAACGATCTTGTGAAGGCAGTGGGAACTGTTCACACGTCGGCTTTTCCTGTTACGGTCGCAAACGAATGTCGTCCCGTCCGTTGTAAACCTCGCACTTTCGAATTCACAAGCACTTTGTAGAACCACACATCAATCACCGTCATGCCGGACCCCGCACACCACCACAGACCACTGCCGGTCATCGTCAACAAAACCTCGTGATTACAATCCAGCTTCCACGTGACGGCTGCGCCGCTCCGCACTCCGACGGCTACAGGCGGAGTGCCAGAGAGCGCTCTGAGAGGGAGAGGCGCCCTCGGAATGAACCACCCGATCAGGCCACAGCACTCTCTTTCAACCACTCGATTTCGCGCGCTCCGGAAAGAGCGCGCAGAACGAACCACGCGAATTCGCCATTATTTAAGCAAGTCCGCATAAACATCGGGGGAGGGGGCCGCGGTTGGAGTTGCAAGCTGATGAGTCACTTCAGATGAACCATGATTCCACCAACCTTCGTGGACCCCACCTTTGTTCACACGCCAGAGTGGACGCATAAAGACGAAACTGTGACCCGTATTCCAACAATGGTCTACGAGTTCCGTCTTCGCTGTGTTTGTTTAGGCGAGTGCAGCGCTTCCAGCCTGTCTCCCCAATGTAGGATGTGTCACAGTCTAGACAGTTCACTTTATACACAACGCCGCACTGGGACTCTGGGGGGGCGTAATCTTTAGGTTTAGAAATGAAGTCACATAGTTTATGGTGGGGTTTGAAAGCTGTGCGGATCTTCAAAGGGGCGAGGGCCCTGCGAATGGACTCAAAAGCACCTCTCAAATAGGGTATTGTTGCCTGCCCTGTCCTAAGTTGTCCATTATCCTGACTTCTTTGTCCCATCTGTTTGTGCGTGTTATCAATAAAATGTTTCGGATAATTCCGCTTCATCAGCAGGTCAACAATAACAGCATCCTCAGAAGCGCGCAAGCCGCCTCGGTGGCTCCGAGGCGAGAGCGCTGGCCTACGGATCCCCATGTGGCAGAGGCTTATTGCGGAGCAGGCACCGTGTAACCGAGCTTTTGGTTGCACGTCAAAAGATCCCCAGGTAGTCCAAATTAATCCTCAGTCCTCCGCTGGGGCGTGCCAGATGCCCGTCGTTGGTTTAGCACGTAAATCCCCCAAATTTGACTTTTTTCTCAGAAGCGCGCAATTGAGGATTAGAAGAAATGCGTTCGGACCGGTGTAGTAGGTTTTTTACGACAGCCCTTTTATGTTCGACAGAATGATGCGAGTTAAAGCTTAAGAGGTTGCCTGTATCACAGCTTTGCGGTACACTGTTGTATATAAGCGACCGGTACTATTTCGGAACACATTAACATACAGAAAAGGCTTTGCACCGTTCTGTTCAACTTCATGTGTGAATTGGATTGATGATTCAATGCTGTTTAAAGCTAAATGAAAGTCACAAAAGGGACATGGCAAAGGCCACGCATGCGACAAGAGCGAAGACGGAACTCGTAGACCATTGTTGGAATACGGGACACAGTTTCGACTTTGAGAATGCGTCCACTCTGGCGCGTGAACAAAGGTGGGGTCCAAGCAGGTTCGTAGAATCATGGTTCATCCGAAATGACTCATCAGCTTGTAACTCCAGCTGTGGCCCCCTCCTCAATGTGTATGCGGACTTGCTTAAATAGGACTGTTGAAGTTTCTTTCGCTCATTCCTGCTTCAAGATTTCACCGACGATGTTTCCCACATGGGAGACAAAACGTTTGATTAAATTGTTAATCTTCTTGAGTAAGTCGGTGCAGTTTTTTTTATCATTATGATTCCCGGCTTTTGGAATATTTTTGCAGCACATTTAATGAAGAAATTGATGCCGATAAACACCTGCCAAGGTTGACTAAAAATAAACAGAAACATACAATCAATAGTTATGATTGCACTAAGCGGTTGCTATGTGGATGTTTTTTATGTTCGACAGCTCAGCAAAGTCTGTGGATCTGGTTATGCTTCCTGTACGAGACAGATCACGAAGCGGTTGCTGACTGACCAGTTGGGGCGAAAATTTTTGTGGGAAGGACGCAAGAGAAAGTTGACATTCAGGAACCTTCACCTTGCTGAGTGCATCATAAGTAAGTAATCTCTGGAACAGTAGTGCAGATCGCTTCACATGGAACCAGATTTATGGAATTGTGGGTGTCATACTTCTGTTGCTTTCTTTTATCAGATGCAGTGCAGAGCTGCCATAAATGTGAAGACTTCAAGGTAGAAACCATGGTCACGGATTAACTTCGCCACGCACCTGCCTGACATCAGTCATCTCAAATGGTAAGCTGGTCTTATTAAGCTGATGTTAGCACAAAAATCAAACTTTTCTAGAACAGTAAGTATGGTGTGCAATTTCTTCAAAGCATAATTTCTATATGAGAGTATTTGAATGCTTTAAATACACCTTTTTTGGTTTAATTTGAGAGCAAATACTACAGGTGTGAACAGTATTGAATAATTTTAAATAAAAAAAAATTTTGTTTGGAGTGTTTCTCTAAGAGGAAAAATTTCATTATTTAATAGTACCTTATTATGGATTAAAGAGAATGCATAGACAACGAATTTTAAGAACACTGATATTTGATGTAAATCTAACAAACAAAAGTTGGCAATACAGTACACACATCCAGCATGAATGTGCTTTAAAAACAAGGCATAAAATACTTGTGATTTATTTACATCAGTTCCAATTCTTGCATATTTGAGTCACTTCACTTTGAACTTCACTGTTTTATTAGTTTTGTTTCAAAGAATGGTAAACCACTGCTCACATATCTTTAACGTAACATTTTTTCGTTGCTTTTCAGGAACATTCTGCACCACAGGAGATAGAGATGTGAACTGCCTTAAGTGGGCCTTGAATGTGCTGAGCTTTTTATTATGTTTATCAGACATTTTTTTTAAGCAAAGTATCCTGCATTGTTTAGTAAGTATACTTTATTTTGAAAACCTCATGCTGTCTATGCAGCATTGTTCAAAAATTATACTTTATTTTAAAAGCATCAAGCACTGCTCGTCTGTCTAACAGTAACAATAAAGAGTTAATGGTGATTTGTTTGGCACTGCAACTTTTTCTACAGAATGGATGTGCATGCCTGACAGGCTGGGCAGGAATTTAGTGCGCTACTCACGTTCAGAGTTACGCTGCAAGACTGCAGCGGCATCTTTTGCCATGCAGTCGGTGCTACAGCTCTCATAAAATTCTGGTGTCCTCGTCACTAGAGCATATGACTACTGAAGCCTTAGACTTCAGTAGTCAATTCCTCAAGGCCGTTCGTCATAGCTTATGACAATGTTTGTGTCCCGTATTTCAGTTCTCTCGCATGTGGCGAGGTCCACCTCACTAAAACGAGTCAGCATCAGTAGTGTCGCCTTCCTTGTCAGTGTCGTCCGCATTGATCCTGTGGTAAAGCTTCTGAGCTTGATGGTGAAAAAAAAACTTCAATATAAAGAATGTCTGCTGCGGGCCTGATTGCTACATTATACATCTGTAATGCGCCATTTAGGTATACATTGAGAGCATGCACGGGCCATACAGCAAATCTGCCCTCTGAGCTCTTGTTTTGTAAAGAATTGGACTCTTATCCGTTTAAATTTTTCTGTAGGACAGTTTACACGCTATATGCTAGCATAAAATGAAGGCTGCTTAGGCACTTCCTTGCCCTCCTGGCATAGGGCTGGTCCCTATACCAGGAAAGGTAATATCTCTGAGGTATGTACATGGTACATCCACAGGATCAGGCTGAACATCCTACAATGGTCCTGAATGTCCAGCTGCATCAACCAGATTGTGTTAGTGGTACGTTTTCTGGGGAACCATTTTGCACTGCACAGTAGATACTTTCAATGTTGGATGAATCGTAGCAGATATCCACTGGATATGTTAAATGTCCGAACAACACATCTCTCGGATGTTTAATAGACGGTTGCTGGTTGACTGGGTACCATCAAACCAATGTGCTCCGGGGCACCTGTTGTCAATTACCGCTCATTGGTTTTCGCCCCCTAAATGCCATCAACCCAATGTGCACAGGGGTGCCTGTCGTCAATTGCCGCTTATTGGTTTTCGCCCCATAAATACCATCAATCCAATGTGCACAGGGGGGCCTGTTGCCAATAGCCGCTCATTAGTTTTTGCCCCATAAATACCATCAACCCAATGTGCACAGGAGCACCTGTTGCCAATTGCTGCTCATTGGTTTTTGCCCCATAAATACCCTCAATGCAATGTGCACTGGGGTACCTGTTGCCAATTGCTGCTCATTGGTTTTTGTTTCATAAATGCAATCAGCCCAATGTGAATTCCCTAAAGGATTACCAATTCAGCCCAATGTGAATTCCCTAAAGGATTACCAATTGGTGCACATAGGTTTTTCTTTCATAAATGCATATTGCTCAATGTGTCTGGACCTACAGTTGCACATTGGTTCAATGTGAATTTTGGCCTCATTTCACATCGCCCATTTCCAGCAGGGTAGGGCTTTGCCCTGGCGGGCTGGTCAGATATAAGCTCGATATCATGAGTGACCCATGTGGTCTTACCCGGTCGGTCTGAAAAGACGTCCTGGAACTCGGTCAAAAGCTGTTTTAGACCTTCAATCTGCGCAGGTTTCAGCTCTTCCGTATTTACCGCCTTCCGCATAACGTCGTCCACCGTCTCGGTACCAGAAGCCTCACTTAAAGACGGGATTTGCAGCGTTTCTTCTTCCGGCGCATTCAGGGTCACGAAAGCAATTTCTTCGCGTTCGAAAAATGGCTTCATTAGATTTGCGTGATAAATTTTGACTTCCTTTCGCTTCCCCTTCATTTTGACAGCATAATTCGTATCGGATAGTTTCTGGACAACCTCTGCCGGACCTTCCCAGTGCACTTCGAGCTTATTTTGTCTTGAACTCCTTAGAAGCATTACCTTGTCGTTCACCTTGAACGTTCTTTTACGGGCCGTTTTGTCATAGCATGTTTTCGCCCTGAGCTGCGCTGCCGACATGTTGTCCTCGGCAATTTTTCTAGCAACATGCAAGCGTTCAAGTAATTCGAGGACGTACTCTACAACTGTCGTGTCTTCTCCACTTCCTTCCCAACACTCGCGTAACATACGCATCGGAGAACGCAGCGCTCTACCGTACACCAACTCTGCGGGACTGAAACCCGTAGATTCATGCTGTGCCGAACGCAAGGCGAACATCGCTGCGGGCAAACAGCGCTCCCAATCCCGCTTGTGCTCATGAGTCAGTGCTCGGAGGACCCGTTTCAGTGTTGCATGCCACCGTTCCACACTGTTTGATTGCGGGTGGTGGACGGAACTATGAATGATCTTAATACCGCACCGCTCAAGGAAGGTCGTCGTCAAAGCACTCGTAAAAACGCTACCCTGATCGCTCTGGAGCTCCGCAGGGAAACCTACTCTGGCAAATACGGTCAGGAAAGCGTCGACCACTTCCGTTGAGCTCAAGCTTTTCAGAGGCACCGCCTCCGGAAACTTAGTGGCAGGACAAATCATTGTAAGAAGGTACTTGTACCCTGACTCAGTGACAGGCAAGGGCCCTACCGTGTCCACTACCAGGCGCTTGAAAGGCTCAGAGATCAACGGGACCAGTTTTAGAGGAGCCTTCCACTTGTCGTTCGCCTTCCCGACGACCTGGCACACGCTACATGTCTTCACGTGTAGCTTAACATCTCGAAAACACCCTGGCCAATAATACTCTTGAAGTAATCGCTCTTTGGTTTTCTTTATACCGAGATGCCCTGACCAAGGGTTTTCATGCGCCACATGCAGGAGGTCGGAGCGGTACTTGGAAGGCACCACGAGTTGATCATAAACCCTTCCTCGCCTGTCCTCGTATTTCCGGTGAAGGAGACCCCCTTTCTCGTAAAACGTAATGTTTTTCCGGGCTACCCCTTCCCTCTCTGTATCAGAGAGTATCTTGAGGCTGGGGTCACTCTTCTGTTCCGATTGCAAACTCGCCGTCCCCACTCTCAGTAGACTTTGCAACCTAGAAGTGACTGGAGGAACAACGCGCCCCTCAACCATTTCCAAAACGTCACAATTTGAGGACTCATCTGAGCCTGGAGAGTCCTCCCCTTCGTCGTCGGGTTCGGACCGCGTCTCGCTTGCCTGCCCAGCGTCCCCAGTCAACACCATGTTCTCGGAGGTTTCGGGTTGCTCATTGTATCTAAGCTGGCTAGCAAGCTCCCGCGCTTTCGACCGAGTTAGTGCCATCACTACCCCGTCAACAAACGCTTTCCCATTTTACGCAGTTTTTGGTCCGATTTATTAGAAAAGAGGTACGGATACTGGGGTGGTAGGTTAGCTGAAACCGCAGCCTCCGTCTCCAGTTTGCCGAAAGGACCTTGAATCGTCACCCTGGCTACCGGCAGACAGACGCTCTGCTGTTCCACGACCTGCCGTATCCACGCACACTCACCAGTGTAGTGGTCCGCTTGCACGAGCGATGGGTGCACGACGTCCAACGTGGCGGCGCAGTCCCTGAGCACCTTGCAGGGCTCGCCGTTCACGAGGAGGTCGTGGAGATAAGGCTCGAGCAGCCTGTCGTTCTCGTCATCTTTACTAAGGTACGAAAATACCACCCGAGGCTTTCGGCAACCAGCCGCCATATGACCCGTCTCGTTGCAGCGGAAACAACGCATGGGCTTTCTCGCCTCAAATTGTTTTTTTGTGGTTTCGTCTGCCCGACCTTGTTTCTCCGCGCGATGGTTCTCCTCTCCTGCCTCTCCGCCTCCCGCGGCCCTCGACCGATGAGCGCCCTTTACGGTGTCCTTCGGCTCCCTCTTGTCTTCCTCGGAGCGTGGCTTGTAATAATTTCCGCGGTAATCGCCGCGCGCTCCTGGAAACTTACGTTCTGGGGTATCGTCTTTCTGGCTACTGCGGCGTGCCACAAACTCTTCGGCCAGCTCGGCAGCCTTTTGAGTTGTGTCAGGATTTTTATCCTGAACCCAGTATCGCATTACCTCCGGCATGCCCTTGTACAGTTGTTCGGGCCCGAAGCACTCGACAATGCCATCGTGGTTACCGTAGACCTCCGCACTTTTAAGCCATTCCACCAAGTTCGACCTAAGATTGTAAGCGAACTCAATGTATGACTCTTCGGGTTTTTTTCTGGCACCCCGAAAACGCTGCCGGAAAGCCTCCGTCGACAAGCGATACTTTTTCTGAAGGCCGAGCTTGACCGCGTCATAGTCTGCTGCCTCCTCCGGGCTAAGTCTGGCGACAACCTGTGCCGCTTCACAAGGCAACAACGTGAGCAAGAGCTGAGGCCATGTATCACGTGACCACCCGATTCTGTTGCACGTCCTTTCAAAATTTACCAGAAAAAGACCAATATCCTCACCCACCTTGAAGGGCTGCATTAGGTCTTTAATTTTTAAAGCCTTCACTTCGCCGGGGTTCGAGACGCCCCTCACTGCCTGATTCATCTCGAGACGTTTCATTTCCAGTTCCAAGCGCTTCATCTCCACAGCCGCTTCGCGTTCCTCTTTGGCTTTCAGCTCAGAAGCCTCCGCTCTTCCGCCTCGCGCTCTTCCTTGGCTTTAGCTGCTTCGCGCTTCTCTTTGATGATTTCCCAGCACTCGCTCAACTCTTTATCGTCAGCGCCTAGGGCCTGGATTGCCTCCACGAGGAGTGGTTTTCGTTGAATTTTCCTGGCATCGATCCCCAACTCCTCACACATTAACAGCAAGTCCGGCTTACGCAGCTGCTCGAGATCCATATTGAGTGTGACTTGAACTCGCTCTATGGCTGCCCAGCAAAACCCTGCTCGAGTACAGCCCCACCACCAGCCCTAGACTACCCCGGCTAGAAATCTGGCGTCCCCATGAGCCAAGTCGAGCACTCACCACTCCCCACAGCCGACGTCGCTCAAGTCCATCCCACCGCTGCCACCAGTTGTCGCGGCCGACGTGTGTCCCCAGGATGGACCAGGCTCGGGTGGGGTCCAGATCCGGACGGAGCTCCGGGCAGGAATCTCAGCAGGCGACGATGGTTAAAACTTTCATTTATTTACATGTCAGGGGAGCAAAGAGCTCTGGCTATACAGCAGCTAGCCGCAGCTATTAGCCTTGATCTTGGTGAGCTCTCCGAGTTAGGTGAGCTCAGTGCTTTTAAAGTATTTCGGTTGCCATGCAGTCGGGCGGAAACCAATCGCGGAGGTGCACCAGTTTCGTCACCCACGCCTTTTCGGAAAGACCCCCTGTCCAAGTTACGTCACACGTCCGCGCACACCACACCGAAGAGGTTGTCTTACTCGACGGCGCCATGCATCAACGCATCAGCCTCTTTTGAAGGCGTCGTCCTTGCAGGTGTCTTGGGGCAGGCAGGGCGAGAGCTTGACGTAATGTTCAGGTCCGAGGTCCGCTGGGTTGACCTTGCCCGGGTATTTCCCTTGGGTTTCAAGAAGAGCAGACATTCGGCCGGCTAAACGCCTCGAAGTCACGTTATTTCGGCGGTGAGTTACGTGACGACGGGCCTCGCCCGTGAGCGAAACATGAGACGACGAACCAAGGCCGCCGACGTCCATCGGCGGGCCGACGTGCCGATTTCAACAGCCATCCGCGCAGCCGTTGCCGATTGCAACAGCTTCTAGACCTTTTTGACATTTGTAAAGAAAGTTATAAAGTACAAAAACGTCTCCATTTTTTTTTTGTAAAGTTTTGTGTGATGTTAACAAAAATTATATTTTGCTAGGATAGTCTGAACTGCAAAAATATGTACCTCTTTTATACAGTTTCGAACAAGGAATATAAACTAAGAACAAATCATATTTTGAAAACTTTTTTTTTAACTTTTTCAAAAAAATTAAAGTTATCTTGTAATCATTAAAAGAAGAAACCTGGGATGTCTTGTTTTAGCGTTCACCTTATGTTTCCCTATAGCACATAATAATAATAATATTTATTAAACTCGAAAAGAGTTGCGACACCACAAAAGGCGAGGAGCCCATACCAGGAGGTCTGTAGTGCCGCAGACCTCCTGGTTAAAACAGCTTTTGATAACAAAAGCTGTTTTAAAAGTTGTGTTCAAAAATATTTACCCACCATTTGTATTAAAAGAAAGTGTAGTAATGTTATGCTTGGA